ATCCATGCGTTTCCCCCCTCCCTCGTATACCGTCTTCGCGTTGTCGTCCCGTACAACCTCGCAGGACATGTCCACTGAGGCCTTGGCGGCAATGGCCTACGACGTCGAGAGACTGGCGACGGGCAATGACGATGTCCATCGCGAGATTGCCAGGATGGTGTCGGACCCTGCTATCGCGGGGCTGTCGTACGACCTCCGGTGGAGGCGACGGCACTTGGACCACGAGGACATCCGTCAAGTTCTTCGCGGAGTTGCTCGAGGACCAGGTTCTAGACAAACTCGTGCGCATCACCAGGAGCTTCTAGGATGGGGGACCCAACTACGGCCATCTCGTCGCCCTTGGACCCGATGGCTTCGTCCTCTGCACGTGTCTGAGGCCCCTCGTCTACGGTCTTGGCTGTCGGCATGGTCTCCGGGCCGCGCGATACGNGATGTCCATCGCGAGATTGCCAGGATGGTGTCGGACCCTGCTATCGCGGGGCTGTCGTACGACCCCACCTCCGGTGGAGGCGACGGCACTTGGACCACGAGGACATCCGTCAAGTTCTTCGCGGAGTTGCTCGAGGACCAGGTTCTGGACAAACTCGTGCGCATCACCAGGAGCTTCTCGGATGGGGGACCCAACTACGGCCATCTCGTCGCCCTTGGACCCGATGGCTTCGTCCTCTGCACGTGTCTGAGGCTCCGTGTCTACGGTCTTGGCTGTCGGCATGGTCTCCGGGCCGTGCGCGATACGGATTTCGGCTTCAACGGAGGGTGTATTGCGTCCCGCTGGCGTGACAGCACTCAGCCGTGGACGATGGAACACCTCGCCGCTAAACGTGCGGCACCAGCAAATACAGCTGCGGGCGTTCCCGGAGGTATGCCGCCCGCTCCTGTGGATCCCGTTTTTTTCTCCAACTCGAAGCCCACGGCGAGAGTAAGCAACTGGGCCAGCTGCGTCGCCTTCGGGAAGGAGCTCGCATCTCTCATGACAGACGTGGACGCCGTCGCCCCCTGCCAACGCGTCCTCAACAACCTCACCAACTACGCCAAGCAGCTCATCGAGGTGGAGGCGAGGTCGCAGCATGAGGCCACCACGAACCGGATTTTCACGGGAGTCGTGGCCCGGCCTGTGACCGCTACCGACCCGCCAGAGGGAGGGCCGGTGGGGGCCGGGCCGGGAGGAGGCCGCGGACGAGGGAACGGGCGAGGGCGAGGCCGGGGTGGGGCNCTTATACATGAGACACGAAATTATCTCAATCTCAATGTCCTCTCGAAACAATACCAGTGTCCTCTTGACAAATGTGCTATCGACGTGAGTGCATGCTCTCGAACCAACTCCTAAATATGTACTCATTGATTGCATCGAAATGTTCTTCTACTTTCCAACGTTTGTTATTCTACAATAATATTCCATGCACCATCCAACCCTTGAGACATAATGTCTGATTTCGGTAATGGGGAGGTGTTTACACTCCAAGCAAGAGAAGGCGGTTCTGGAGGAACTTCACAGCTCCCTGGCTTTTAGTCAGGATGTCAGCCTTCTGCAAGTTAGTCTCGATGTACTTGACGTCGACGATTTTCTTCTCCTCTAAGTACCGAACGTGGTGATACTTGACGTCGATATGTTTAGTACGGGGCGTGAGTTTGGCGCCCTTAGCAAACGCTATAGCGCCTGTGTTGTCCTCAAACACTACCGTGGGCTGCTCCTGCTTCATGTTCAGCGACTTCAGCAAATTACGAAAGTGGATGACAATAGTGCACGCCTTGGACAGGGCAACGGCTTCAGCCTCGAACGTTGAGATGGCCAGCACCGTTTGCTTCTTGGATATCCAGTCCACTGGGGCACCTGCGAGATAGAGAACGGCACCGGTTGTGGAGTAGCCTTTGTCTTGGTCACCTGCAAAATCAGAGTCCACGTACGCCGTGAGTTTATCTCCGCCGTCGGCGTCTTCGGTGTATGTGATTCCGATAGAGGTCGTTCCTTTTAGATACCGGAGTACCCGCTTCAGCTTTGTCATCGCTCTGGGACCTGGCTTCGCCATACTCTTCGCGAGCACCATCACCGAGTGTGTTATGTCCGGTCTTGAGCCCCTGCTGAGATACAGAAGGCTACCCGTGGCGGACCGGTAGTATTTGGTGTCCTCTGGAGATAAAACCTTCTCCTCCTCGATGCTGATAGGTCCAGGTTCCGCCGGTGTCTTCACCGGGCGCGATTCGGCCATTCCGAACTGGTCGAGCACGGTCTTTGCGTACGTCTCTTGAGAAAGGAATATGGTACCGGCGTCGACGTTCCTCTCAAGCTTCATACCAAGCAGGTGCTGAGCATCCCCCAAGAACACCGTGTTGAACCGTTCCTTCAGCAGATCAACGACCATCATGACCTTCTCCTCGTCCTTCCCCGACAGCAGGATGTCGTCAACGTACACGAGAAGGATAACTCCTTCCGCTTCGAGAATGTAGAGACAGGGGTCTGCTTTACTCTGTACGAACCCTTTCTCAATCAGGAAGTCGTGAAAGGTGCTGCACCAGCCTTTCGGGGAGAGACGAAATCCGTAGAGCCATGCCTTTAGCCCCCACACCTGCCGTGCTTGTTCTGGAGAGCATTCGAAACCTTTCGGAGGACAAACATAAATCGGGTCTGCGTTAGCGGGGATCCTGGCATGTAGGAACGCTGTCTTGATGTCAGCCTGTTTTAGAACAAAGCCATTCTGAGCAGCGACGGCGACTACTAGATGTACCGCCTCCAATGTCGCCACTGATGATGCCTTGTCTTCCCCCGTGTCTTCTTGATGGAAGCCTTGGACCACGATACGACTCTTCAGTCGAGCTAGTTCTCCGTCTGCTGCGTACTTCCGTTTGTATAGGTATCTTGACGGAAGTATATCACCGTCCGCCGGCCGTTTCACCCAATCGTATACGTCGAGTTCCGTGAGCGAACGATTTTCTTCGCGCATACTCTCCCTCCAGTGGTCAGCATCTGGTCCACGTGTTGCGTCGTCGTAGTTGGTCGGGTCGGGAGGCCTGTAACCTATTTCTCCAGGGTTGCCCGTCCCGACGTTTCCGAGTACACCCCCTGTCAGAAGAGCTTGTTCCACCTGCTGATAAGCATCCTCCTCCGAGGTCACCGTAAATAGATTCAACCTTTGCGGCGGTGCAGATGCCCTGGCGCTCCGTCGTGGTTCTGGAACAGATGGTGTCGACTCTGCAGTACTTTGGTCTTCTTCTTCATCGCTATCGTCGGTAGTTTCTTCTTCGTTAGATTCTGCCATACCAGGCTGGTAGATTGTCGTGTTTGGCACAGGAAACGGATCGCGCCCTACTTTGGGTTTAACCACGTCGCGCATCTCCTTTTCACGGAAGGATACTTCGGCAGAGTTGGTGATTTTAGAAGGCTCCGCAACATCCCACAGTCTGTACGACCTACCCTTGGTATTATAGCCTACCAGATACATCTTCTTGGCCCTGGCCGCAAGCTTGTTGGGACGGAAACGCGCTTCCTCGTGTTTGAAGGCCATCGAACCCCATTCGTGAATGTGCAGCAGATTACCTAGCGGCTTACCCTCCCATACCTCGAGTGGGGATTTGCCGCCCAGGACTTCAGTTGGTGTGCGATTCTTGAGATAGATGGCGGTCTGGAATGCTTCAGCCCACAGCTCGCTGGGAAGGTGCGGTGCGCCCAGCATTAGTTTGCGAGTAGTTCGATGATGGTGCCAAATCCACGTTCGGCGATGGAGTTCTGCTGTGGAGTGTATGGAGCGCTAGTTTTGACCGTAATTCCGAGGGACTTGCACCACTCCAGGAATCTGCCCTGGAATTCTCCTGCACCATCGCAGTGCATCGTGCCGATGCTTTGCCCGATTGGGTCGGCTACCTCCCGGACAAATTTGTGGAGAGACTCCGCCGTTTCGTCTTTTGTCGTGATTGGGAAGCCGAACCTCATGCGAGAAAACACGTCAGTGAACATCACGGTGCTCTGGCAGCCCCCAAACGACTTGATGGGGTGCTTCCCCCACACGTCGGCGCACATTATCTCTAACCGGGTTTCAGAGTGGGGGTGATCAGATGGAGGGTGACTGCCCTTCTTGCTATCCCCGACCGCGCATACGCTGCAGTCACCTGACTCGATGTTGTGATGGAAGTTTACTCCAGTGGTGTCCATTTCCGCCAGCTGCTGCAGTGCACGCGGATTGCAGTGGCCCATCCTCCGGTGCCACAGGTGAGCGTCGACCTTGGTGCGATACACTTCTACATCGTCCATGTTGAGATCGTCAATGATGACGTTTATCACGTACATGCGAGGCACAGCGATTGATATCGGAAAGGCCTGGTCGCCGCGTCGGAGCGTCGGAGGGATAGACATTAAATCGCACTTAACCCCCTTTTCGGCCAACGCTCCAACCAACAGAATATTCGCTCCTAGATTACGAACCAGGAGGACGTCCAGTGCCACCGTCACAATGTTGCCTTGCTCCTACGAATTCCAAACTTCAGGGTGCCTTTCTTGGTAGCGCTAGATGTTCCGCACGACCCGATGACACGCACGGCGCAGTCCACTGGGTCGAACACACGCTTGGACATGCGGGATTTAGCGTCTACCATATGGCTCGACGCCGCTGTATCTATGTAGAGCGTCGTATCACCAACATCCTTCGACTCCTTGTCCACTTGAAACACGCTAGTGTACATTACCAGCTCTGTCACTTTCTCGGCCGGAGAGTCAGGAGAGGTAGTGAGGTCGAGGTCCGTCGCTGCCGTAGGCTCCACGGATTCCTGCAGGTCGTCAGTGGCGCGCACATTCGGCAGCGCCGACTCGGGCACATCGTGCGTCTGCTCATCTCCAGCAGCGCACNTCTATGTAGAGCGTCGTATTACCAACATCCTTCGACTCCTTGTCCACTTGAAACACGCTAGTGTACCTTACCAGCTCTGTCACTTTCTCGGCCGGAGAGTCAGGAGGGGTAGTGAGATCGAGGTCCGTCGCTGCCGCAGGCTCCGCGAATTCCTGCAGGTCGTCAGTGGCGCGCACATTCGGCAGCGCCGACTCGGGCACATCGTGCGTCTGCTCATCTCCAGCAGCGCACTCCGATACTTGCGGATCATATATTACGACTCCGTCCGGCAGCGCCGGTGCAGCCGCGTCTTGCTCCTGGTCACCAGCAGCAGCGCGCTCCCTCGGCAACGCCACAGCAGGGGCGTTCAGCTCCTGCTTGTCGTTATCGAAGACGATGGCGAAATCTTCAAGCTCATCGTCCGCCGCCTCCACCAGCGTGTACCAAGCCTGCGTGGTGGAGTCTTGCGTGTTGTGCACCTGTCCTGTGTTGTTGTCCTCCGCCTCGTGCCTCCGGCGGAGCGGGCATTCGTCCCACCCGTGCTCGGTGCTGTTACGGCAGTATCTGCAACGTCCTTGACGGTTGCGGCCGGTATCCTGAGCCCGACCACGACCTCCAGAGTTTCGGCTCCTGCGATCATTCCCGCGTCCGCCATGCGCATTTCCCGCGCTGTCTCCTCCGGAGGTTCCGTTGTTGTTGTTGTTGCCGTTCGACCCACTTCCACTGGTCGAACCGTCTGCAATTCGGCCGCCACTACCTCGGCGGCTGCGTCCACCACGATNGCTGTTACGGCAGTATCTGCAACGTCCTTGACGGTTGCGGCCGGTATCCTAAACCCGACCACGATCTCCAGAGTTTCGGCTCCTGCGGTCATTCCCGCGTCCGCCATGCGCATTTCCCGCGCTGTCTCCTCCGGAGGTTCCGTTGTTGTTGTTGTTGCCGTTCGACCCACTTCCACTGGTCGAACCGTCTGCAATTCGGCCGCCATTACCTCGGCGGCTGCGTCCACCACGGCCGCCACGGCCGCCACGCCTGCGGAGACCACGTGCTCCTTCGTGCGCGACAGTGTTCAACGCACGGCCGTGGCTGCCTGAACCGTCACCATGGTCAGGCATTTCTCCGCGAATTTGCATGGCATGATACGAAGTTGCACGGCGCGCTATCTCCTCGAATACGAGACCATCGCTTCCGAGGATTGTCCTTCCGCTCATCAGGACATTCTCGAACGAGCCATACTGTCCATTAGGGAGGGCTCGTAGTAGGGCACTTGCTTTCCGTGTTTCCACAACTGCATCTCCTAACTTGTCCAGTTCGAGGCAGATGCGGCGCAACTGTTGAAT